TCATATGCATGTGAAAGTTGGACAATAAGTAAGGAAGATTATAGGAGAATTGATGTTGGAGAAGAATGTTAAAGTACCATGAGGTGCCAAAAAAACAAATCAATCTGTGTTGGGAGAAGTACAGCCAGAATGCTCCTTTGAAGCCAGGATGGTGAGAGTTCGTCTGGCATACTTCAGCTATGTTATGAGGAGGAACCAATCCCTGGAGAAGGATATCATGCTTGGTAAAGTGGAGGGTCAGTGGAAAAGAGCAAGACCCCCAATGAGATGCATTGTCACAATGGCAGCAGCAATGGACTCAAGCTTAATGATCATGAAGATGGCAGTGTTTCATTCTATTGTGCATACAGTTGCTACAAGTCAGAACCAACTCAGTGGCACCTGACAACAACAATCAGGGTGTCTGTAGTAGGGAGAGACTATAAAATTGCTCGTCCAGTATTTGAACCCTCTTATGACTTTCAAAGGGAGCTCTGGTAGTGTAGTGCTTACGAATCGGGCTGCTAATCTCATGGTCAGCAGTTCGAAACTATAAACTGTTCCACAGGAGAAAGATTAGGCTTTCTGCTCCCGTAAAGATTTACAGCCTCAGAAACCCTGTACGGGGTCCCTAGGAGTCTGAACCGACTCCATGGCACATAACAACAGCAACAAATTACTTTCAAGGAATCCTGGTGTGGCACTGCAGGTTAATGTGCTGGACTGCAAGGTCGGTTTGAACCATCAGATCCGTGGTTTAGGCTCACCAGCCATTCCTCAGAAACTCTATACAGGGTCGCTATGAGTTGGAACCAACTTGATAGCACTTAACAACAACAATAAATGACTTTCAAGGAGTTATTTAGAATGACGATCAACAAAACTGGCAACTTTGTAGGAAATCTCTGAGAAATTCTCAAGATGGTCCAGCTTCAGGAATAAAGGTCACATGAGATTGCTAGACCAGAGATGTTGTTGTGAAGTTCCGTCGAGTCGATTCCGACCCATAACAGCCTTGCTTAGGGTTTCCAAGGAGCAGCTGGTGAACTTGAACCACTGACCTTGCAGTTCAAACGACTTTACAGTCTGAAGCATTAGCCCATAGGTTGTTGATTCACACCCAGGGCTATATAATTGGAGAGAAGGGGGGAATTGGGAGAAGGGGGGGAAGAAATCTGTTCTAGGACTAGGAGCTTTAAATAAGAATACAGGCATTAAGATCATAGGCACCCTTCAGGCTAGATTGTGGAACTGGAGGAGGGGCTTTTTCTGAGACAAGGGAATAAAATGTTTGTGGGCCGACCATGTAGCGCGTCTGCCTGTATCTACTGGGTTGGGTGCCTGATTTTGCAAAATCGAACAGAGAACACCTCACTCTCAATAAAATGAGTACAGATTAGACTTCTTGAGTGTTTGTCTATATCAACAAAGATTCTCACAGAACTCAAGAGGCTAGAAGTATCCAAGATGGTGGTCTCTGCTTCTTTAGTTACTGGAGCAGCTAAACATCTCTAGCCAGGGACTAGAGATAAACATTTCTATTAGTATTGATGTTGCTCAACACTCAAGTGTTGTTCACTTCCTGCTTCTTTCTTCTAATCCTCCTGCATAATTAGAATGGGGTTTTGACCTTGACTTTGTCACAGTGGAGTACTGCACAGGTCAATTTCCTCAAAGACTCCTCCCTCTCTTGCTTTCACACAGCTTTGACCCACATCTTGTCTTGGAGTGAGTGGTTACCTCTTCCACCATCTTGAAGAAGATAAAAGACTGATATCTGTGTGTGTGTGTACACAGATATATACGAACAGACAACTTTTCTTTTATGTATTAAAGTTAAGCAGCAAACTATACTATAGTTATACAAGAACAGTTCTATGAGATGTGATCCCCCCACCTACTGGTAACTCCTTTGTAACTTTGGTTCCTCAAAGAAAAGGATGCAGTCTTGTGTATTTTTGGTTTCCCTTTAAGGCAGATAGATGGCTTGATGGGACTATATGTTGCAGCTATTGTTGTCATTTATTTTTCAGAGTGATAAACTCTCAATGAAAATTTAAATTCTCAGGCACAGTAAAAAATGTGAATTAGAACCTGCGTCTTTTAACTGATAATCAAATACTTAAGACCCTTACATTTACTGCCACTGTAAATCAAGTTGCAGTCTTGTATGGGTGATGAAGGTAGGAGGAGGGATAAGAATTAAACTATAGTGAGGATAGAGCAGAATGGCTGCAGAGTCATAGCTTCCTCTCTGTGGTGAAGACATGTGTTTCCTGAGTTAATAGAGACATTATTTAGTGAATTTGTGAAAACAACAAAGGCTACTCTGTTACCTTCTTCTTAGACTTTCTTATCATTCTCTATGTTTGTCGGGCGCTCTGGTAGTGTAGTGGTTACGAATCGGGCTGCGAACCTTAAGGTCAGCAGTTCAAAACTACCAGCTGCTCCATGGGAGAAAGATGAGGCTTTCTGCTCCCGTAAAAATTTACAGCCTTGGAAACCCTGTACAGGGTCGCTATGGGTCGGAACTGACTCGATGGCACTTAACAACAACAACAACTCTATGTTTGTAGAATCTGAATTATTTTTTGCTAAGGAACTAATTCAATTAAATTTTTGATTAAGATCTGAAAAAGCATCTTTGCTACAGAAGACTATCCATTACCTAGCGAGCCTTCAAAAATTATATATATATATGTGTATATATATCAACTTGAACAAAAGATATTCTCTCACATTGGTTTTACTACTTATATCTCATACCATGCTAATCAATATTTTGCTGTCTATTTTACCATATAATCCAGTGGCTGATAATGATATAGTTCACCATATATATCTGATTAATGAGGTTAGAAATAGCATCCTATGCTAATCTGCAATGCCAAGAAATGAAGATGGTTTAAATCAGATCTCATGACTAATGCATGAGATCCAAAGTTCTTTTATTCCTGGCTATTTTAGAAAACTTGGGTATATTTTTACCCTTAACATAATTCTACACAATTTATTGAGATAATACAAAATGTCTTAATATTAACATATCGCAACCAATATTTATGTCTTACTGGTGATCACTGAGATGCTGTTTCTCCACTTTAATGGATTAAACTTCTATATATGCAATAGGTTAAATCTAGATATAAGGATTTTAGATTTGATCTTTAGTGTTTGTTTTTTTCTTTTTAAAAGATACTTAGTATGATTCACCATAATAAAATGGAAAGTTTATATTGTTCTCTGGGTTAGCATTCCATTTTAATTGTACTTACTGTGAATTCATTTAAACAGAAAGAAATATATCTAGCAATGAAGTGAGCCTGTTATTTTTGCTTGTTTTTGTTTTGGTCATGACAAACTGTGAAATGCTGTGTTTTTCCTATAGTTCTAGTCCATGAAATCTGCAATCTTTCCACTTGATTTACGAAGGACCCTTAATTACTGCTGTCATTAGCGCCTAGTGTTCAAAACAGTCTGTTAAAATGTACTGCTAATCTCACCTCCAAGTCCCTGCTTGCTGTATTTTAATTTTTTCCAAGACTAAGAAAAAAGAATAATAATTGCCTCAATAACAACAATTATTATGTGCAGTGAATTCAACAGTATTCTAGGTTTTTTGGTGCCTATTTCTATTTATTCAGGATTCGGTATTTGTAATACTGGCTTAGAGTTTGAACAAGTGTCCATAAGTAGGATTATTACAATGAGGACTTATTACCTCTTTTTCTTTTCACATGGATAGGAATGATAGACAACTGCCGCGAAGCTTCAATGTTTTTGCCTGGTCATGCACAGTTCTGCAATATAATGCATAAATGTATAACAACAACTTGGGCTCGCTTGATACCTCGCTTGAAATAAGGAAATCCAGTCAGGCGCGTCCGCACTTTCTCGATCTCTCTCAGGTCAAAAGTTGATTCAATCCCCAGAATCTTTCTTTTTCTAGATCCTGGCAGCTCTGGTTTCCCAGTTAGAGTAGTAGTAAGGCTAGGGGCGTGGGAGGGGCGGGAGAGGGCGAGGCCACAGCGAGGAGGGAACCGGGTGCGGGTGCGTGCCGCGCCCGCTCCTGCCGGGTGAGAGTCCGGGCCGGGTTTTGTGCCGTGTCCCCGGGCTTGTCTCACGGCCTCCAGCCGCCGCTGCCGTGTTTACTGAGCTCGCGCGTCCTGATATCACTCCGCTGGCATGGAGGAGGAGGAGGAGGTGGAGGAGCGAGAGGAGGAGGCGGCGGCGGCGGCGGCGGAGAGCAGTTGATCATTGTGATGGTGGCAGGAGCAGCAGCGGCAGTGGCAGCTCAGCCGAGCGTTAGGGGCTGCTCTCCGCGCGGCGTTTTGCAAAGGACTTCACCGATCTACTTTTGCAATCGCCTCGGACTGTCCATGTGTTTACTTCCCCCAGCCCGAGGATTCGATATCTAGGTTCCTGTGAAATGCAACTGAGCAGCCAAAGTACTTTGAGAACACGGGGCGGCATAAACACCAAAACTTTTTTGTGGAAGGAAAATGCAATAAGCAAGCTTGCCGTTTTCCGATGCGGTGTGGAGTGAGTGTATGTCGCGCGTGTCCGCACTGGAGGCATATGCTTGTGTGTGTACATGTGGTGTGTTTTTCGGTACGTAGGGAGAAAATGCTTGCCAAGCACCGGAAACCTCCTGGAATTTATTAGAAAATAATGGATTATAAAAAGAAGGCAGGCGAGGAGCGGATCTCCCCTTGAGTTGCAACCCGATTTGCTGGTGGCTCAGTTTGTTGTGATTCTTTTTGTTGATAGGTGTCTGATGGTATTCAGATAACACCCCCCTTTCCCCCCCCTTGAGCTTTACAGTTTAAAAAAAGGAAACAAAACCACCCCAAAATTTCTCCCCCCTTTTTTTTTTTCCGCCCCGTCGGGATCGCTGTTTCCATCCATGTGCTTGCGTCTCCCCCGCGTTCCACTTAAACTATTTTAATCCTTGGACCCAAGGAGGAGGCTGATAGGGGGGGGTGGGGGTGGATAAAAAAAGTTCTTCCAAAATAGTGTGCCCGGGGAGCAGGATGGGGGATTTCGCAGCCCCCACTGCTGCCGCGAATGGCAGTAGTATTTGCATCAACAGTAGCCTGAACAGCAGCAGCCTCGGCGGGGCCGGGATCGGTGTGAATAATACTCCCAATAGTACTCCCGCTGCCGGCGGCTGCGGTGGCGGCTCAGGGGGCCCCGGCGGCGGCTCAGCGGCGGTTCCCAAGCACAGCACCGTGGTCGAGCGACTCCGCCAGCGCATCGAGGGCTGCCGGCGGCACCACGTCAACTGCGAGAACAGGTATCAGCAGGCTCAGGTGGAGCAGCTGGAGCTAGAGCGCCGGGACACCGTGAGCCTCTACCAGCGGACCCTGGAACAGAGGGCCAAGAAATCGGGCGCCGGAACCGGCAGCGGCAAGCAGCAGCACCCGAACAAACCCCAGCAAGATGCGGAGGCTGCCTCGGCTGAGCAGAGGAACCACACGCTGATCATGGTGAGGGCGCACTGGCAGTGGGCATGGGGCGCGCGGCGGCGGTGGCTGTGGCGGTGGGGGCGTGGAGCTTCCTACATTGGGGTGTCGGGGTCTGATTTGTACAGTGGGTGAGGTGGCTGAAGGGTTAACGTCAACTTTTTTGAGCGAGAGAGAAAAAAACTGCTGTCGCCGCTACCTGTTAATCTGTCAGGGTTGTCAGATTTGGGGAGGAGGGGGCGAATGAGGAAAAGCCAGTCACGACTGTGAGGGGCGGAGGGAGCCTCTAGGAGCGTCGGAGTGAGGCGCTGGAAAAGTTTTTTTTCCCCTCCTCTCCCTCTTTTAGATACTAAAATGAAAGAGTGAACCCAGAGTTGAAACCTTGCTGTTTCTTTTCGCCGCGCAGTCTTGCCTACTCAGACCCGTCCCCCTTCACCCACCCTTGTTAGCACATCCCTCCGGTGCCTAGAGAAATTGATGCTGTCGTACATTCTGGGCGGGCACCAGTCCCTCTACCTCGGTGGGAGGAGTGGGGAAGGAGAGGGCCTCCTCTCTCCAGCTCACCGCCCACCCTTGGACTGAGAAAGTCTGAGAGTTTTGTGAATGAACTTTGAAGTGGGAGAGAAATGAGGGAGGGTGGTTGTGCGCTCGCGGGAGCGCGCGCGGGTGCGGGGCGCGGGTGCGCGCTCCGCTGGAGACCTGGGGCTGGCCCTGCAGGTGGAGCACTAGGAAGGTGGGGTGGAGGCGACCAGCGGGAGGAGAGTTACCCGCCCCCCCCGCCGTGCTATCGAGGTGTGCGGAGCTTCCCCGCCACTCAGCTTCGCTTGAGGTTCTTTTTTCTCCTCTTAAACTTGTCTAATCTCCAGCCTTCTCCACTTGTCCCCCGCCCCATTCCCAGAAACTTTCCGGGCATTCCTAATAAACCCGGAGGAGTGGAAGGTAGCTGGGAGGTGAAAGAGGCTTAAATGGTTGGGTGGGTGGGTTACATGTAGCATGAGCAGCCAATGGTTTAACTTCTCGAGAGGAAGGGGCCGTTCCCACCCCTTAACCCAGAGGGTATAATCCTTTTCTCTTATCTTTTCTCTCCGGTTCTTTTTCTTTCCTTTCTTAGTGGGGGAGGCCGGAAGCTTAGGAAAGGTGTCTGCAACCCACCCCCATCCCACCGCGTAGCCAGAGTTAGAATCACGCGCCGGCCCTGGGCTGTGCTGGGAGCCGGTTTGTGGGAGTCCTGGAGTGTGTCTTCGCTCGTTCCGCGTGCGGACTGCGCCTCGATCCATGGCGCAGAGCCCACGGTGGTCAGGCCTCTCGATGTGCGGTGTATAAATCGTGCCCGGCTCTGGTCTGGGAGTCGTCGGCGCCGGGGTGGTTCTTTTGCCTCTGCCGACTCCCGTCCGGCGCTCCGGCCGGCTTTCGATGACAAAGGGCCTCCCTGGGGGAGGGGAGGCTGCTGTGCTCGCTCGCTCCCCACCCTCCCCCACCCCACACGTGAGGAGGAACAATTTGTTTATCTTGGGCTTCAAGAATCCTTCCCTCCTCCCAGTTCTCGGAGGCAGCCCTAGCCCCTCCTTCTTCTCCTCCCTCCTAGGCGCGATCCTGCCCAGTCCCGCCAGCAGCACCTTCCCCCTACCCCTTCCTTCTCTGCCTCCTCCCTCCTCCTCCATCCCCTCTTGCCTGCCTTCCCCTCCCTTTTGGAACGCGGCCGTGGGGGAGGGAGCGGGAGGCGCTTTGTCCGCCTCGCGGCCCTACTCTGTTCTAGTGGCCGCCCGGCAGGGGCCGGGAGGGGATGTGCCCACGGCCTGGCCCCTCCCCCCGCGGCCATCTCTGCCCCGGCGCACCCCCTATCCCCCACCCCCTTTCCCTTGCCTCTGAGCAGGCCCCCTGCATGAAGAGGCGGACTCGGTTTTGAGGAAGAACCACTGTCACAGAGGCCGGGAAGGAGGTTCTTGCTTTACAAACAGGAAGCCGAAATCCACTGACACACTGTAGCTTTTCTGATTATACCCGGAGGCGGGGCTGGATCTACATCTTGATTGTATCTCCTTCTAGTACCTGGCTCTTTCCCTTCCTTGCGCGCGTGGTTTCCCGCTCCCTGCCCCACTCGTGTCTCTAAAAGGACTCGCTAGTCCTTTTAGAGGACTAGGAGGAAGAGACTCACCTTTATGAACCTAAGACTAAACTGGAATTTAAAAGTCAATTAGAATTGCATCCCTGTATACCCCCACGCACTCTTCGTGTATTTGCACACCACACATGCACGGATTGTTTAGACATTAGTCTCTTTCGAGAGTTTTCAAGATTCCAATCCCACAGAATCGCTCACGACCTTTTCGGGATGGAGGAGATTACTAAAGGGCTATCTTAGCTAGCTGGGCAATGCTGAGACAAAAGCCCTTGCTGGGTTCACTTTGGACAGCGGCAGAGAGGGGTGGGTAGAGTTTGCGGTCAGAAAGTTTTCTGTTTTATGTCCTCACGAAGGTTCATTATCAGCCCTGGATGGGCCGAGGAAGGACTCGGGTGCGCGCGCCTGGTTTATAATAAATCTGCAGGTGGAAGCATGCCCAGGATCCAGGCTTTACCTGAAAAGAGGCAGCAACCCCTAAACCACAGCTGAATTTTAAAATGAAAACAATGTTTCCTTGAATAGACAAAAACTTAAACTGTAAATTTCATAGTCACGTCCAGTTCAGAAAATTAGCAACAGATATATTTGCAAAACTACAGCCCCCAAATACAATATTTTTGTATCAATTTTTTGACAGTTATTTACACTTTTTGATTAGGACTTACATAAAAGCCAAAAGGTGGTATACTTGAATAAGAAGAGTATGTTAGTTTCACATATTTCATATATGTATGTTTCCCTGATATTAGAAGTACGTACGAGTAGTAAAGTAATGAAAATAAACAACTTTAAATCTTAAGCAAAGAGATATGTGTAAATTCTGTGGCTCACAAAAGAGAAAGTATCCTTTACAAGTTATATTTCCTTTTAAAATAGTTTTAAAAAACTAACATTGACCTCTAAAATGAAAGAGTGATTTAACTTAGCCAATGTGTGCAATAAGGTCTTGAAAAACTGAGGTTAATTTTTATTTTCTTGAATTGGTTCCTGGACTATTGTTGTCTTCTGGTGGGTCATCGCAATTAAAATTACTTCTTAGATTGGGGTTCATTATTTGGAAAGCCCTAAAGAAAAACACTGGTCAACCAGAATTAAATGGTAATGATGGCGATGATAAAAATAAAGATCAATGCGATTTTTTTCTGTTTTATTACTATTGTTTACCTTCTTGGGACCAGTATGTCCAAAGTACTAAATATCGATTAGTTCTGTTTCAGCCTGGCTTGGGTTAAGAAGGCAGTCTAATGAGGGCTTTACCTCTTTTAATTTGTTTTCCTATGGTGTGCATTTACAAGCATAGGTATTAAAAACAAACATGAAACAAATAAGCAAACAAAAATCAGGGTGAAGGAGGTGAATTTGAAATATACCTTGGCTTCAGGCTACTGTGAAGGGAGCTGGAATCTGTGTGACTCCCCAGTAACCTTGTTCATAAAGAGGCATTGAAAATCTCTCTTTAGAGGGCAGGTAGCATAAGTCTGAGTGAAACTTTCTGAACTCATTTCTAGACAAACGGTCCCCACCACCACCTTATACAAAGTGTTTTGTTTGTTTTATCTCCAAGGAGTTGGTAAGAAAACACTGACTTAACCCTTTAGAAAGTTTCAACTGAAAAGGTGTATTTTCCTAAATGATTATGTTAAGTTTTTGTGTAATCGAGACATTGCTTATTCGCTAGACTTGGAACTGAGGTAAATTTAAACTGGCAAGTTCATTTTTACCCAAAGATAGATTACTTGATAAGGGTGTAATCATTCAAGTATACTAAAAAATCATGAAAATACTCAGTCTTTAAAAATTTAGAATGGTGGTGGTGGATAAGACCCATGTTGTTTTCTTGACTTTTTAGTAAATTAATACCATTGAGACTGTCTGAGTATGATTAATTTACACACAGCTTATTGTTATTGTTGTTTTTAAGTGCCATCAAGTCAGTTTTGACTCAGTGATTCTGTGTAGGGTTTCCTAGCAGCAGTTGGTGAGTTTGAACCGCTGATCTTGTAGTTTAAACTAACCTTGTGGTCTAGTGCATTATCCCACAGTGCTACACCACAGCTTATAGGCTTCCTAAATCTTTGTGAACTCTGCTCAGAAAGGTTTATCATGTAAAATTCATGTGATAATACATTTATTAATTACTGAGTTTTAGAGAAAATTGCAGTCCTTCCAAAATGTTTTTATCTATTCCTGGAGTAGATGGAAATGTTAACATATGCAACATATTATTTCAGTGCTAAACCATCTTAGGAGTCCTGATGTGATGATGTATGATAAGCACTGGACTGTTCAAACCCATCAGCTGCTCCTTGGAAACCCTATACAGGGTCACTATGAGTCACTGTGTTGTTGTCATAGCAACAACAAACCCTTTATTATTATTTTAAACCATTTTGTAAACAACTCTGACTTCTTATTATCCTGGTAAAGATAAATTACTGCCTCTGTATAGAAGTTTTTTGACAGGCTTGTAATATCACATCATTTCTAAATGTTTCCTACACTAACCTTTTCATTAGCTTGTCCCATTCTACTGTTACCATGAGTGAAAGAAAGGACAGTAAGGTCTTGAAAAATCTTTCATAGTCTGCACTTAAGGGTGTGCCTTAAGTTTGTGAAGAACTTTGAAATTGTAATTTTTTGTGTGTACTTCACATTTGTCTTTTTCTTTTGATTCTAAAGAAGCATTAAAAAAAAAAAATCTCCCATACATATTTAATACTGTTATTTGTGTTCTTTGATTGTTGTACATTTTATTTAGTACTGGACAGCCAGCTATCAGAAAAGTAGAAGCAGTTAATCAGTAATCAGAATCTACAACATAATCTTCAGGTTGAGTTCCTTCTTTGGGAAAACTGGATTTTCAAGTAGTTGGTGTAGTTGATATGCCCTGCTAGCAAAGTGG